AACGTTTGTTTTGCATGTGCCTCCACACCATACCGTATAGTGTCTCTATGTTTGTATTTTTATTATAATTGGAAGCCTTGATGAAACTCTATGTACAAAGTCAGCAGAGCACCACCTATGATAATCGCAACCCTCTAAGAAGTTATGAGCTCTTTTCCATCATAAATACCAAACTCAGCCCCCAACTCCCTAATATTCATGTTTTGATAATGATGATTGTTTCTGTTTAGATTTGTTTGTGCTTGTTAATTGTGCTTTGGTAGTCTTGTGTAAGTCTTTGTTAGGTCAAGTCCAGTTGTGAAGCTGCAAACTTCAGTGAAGAAAAAAAAAGTATGGATATGATTCTGTGAAATACAAAACAAAAGTTGTAAACATCTCCACAAAGCAAGTATGGATATAATGTGTCATCATTAAATGCACTCAGTCAAGGCCTATGACATACCATGAAAATTACATATGTGGATGTCCAATCCAATACTTCTACAACCTCAAATTCTTGTTGCCACTTCTGGAAGAGATACAACCTTAAATCAATGTGTTGCACATGTTTTTGTTGCCAATATCAAAAACTTTGTACATTAAAAGAAATGTATAATCAATTAAACTTACATCTCCCTGCAGCCAACCGTCGTCTTTGAAGAAGCGACCGAAAAATTCAATCACAGCTTCCATATAGCCAAATTCCATCACTAAACTATGAATGTAAAAAAGTTTTACATGAGAACATTTCAAATCTATATACACTTATGTCATCTTTCTCAAAAATGTATACACTCATGTCATCTGAACTCGAGAACAGACATCGTAGTTCTCCATTGCAAAATAAGCGAGACAACTATTGGATCAACAATCTTCCAATAATTCAGGTCCGCCAACCTAGGAATTAACTCGTATGCCTAAATCTACACAATTCACATGATATATGTCACTATTTAAGTTTTAAAGTTCACAAAGCATAACTAACATGAACATTATTAACACATACCTGGAAAGCATATGTCAATCCTTTAAAACTCCAGCCATGCCTTTGCCCTTCAACATGCTTACCCTTCTTGCCCTTTTGATTTCTCCGGCTTATTCCCGTTAATTTACATGAGGCCTTACTTTTCCCCTTCCCTATTCCATCTTCCTTTTCACAGCTTTTGAGAAACTTTGTCTGTGCGGACAATAGACTATCTTGGGTTTTGTCAAAGGACACTGAACCCATAGACATTTGTTGAACGCATCCAAGTCCTCTACAAGGATCAGGTAATTGGCATTAATGTTCAAATGTTTGTCCCTTCCTAAAACCACAAGCTTAGTAAAGCAAACAAGAGCTAGCTTGTAGATGTCATTGCCTTCTGTGCACTTCACAAATGCGTATTCTAAATCAAAATATGTAATTCCTTCATCTGAAAATATCTCTTCATCTCGAAAATATCTT